GCCGCGCCGACCGCCGCGTGCTCTGACTGGCACACGACGTCGCCGTTCCGTGGCCGTGACCGTGGCGCAGGATCGGGCTCGATGGCGCCGCTAAACCGCCCGCGGTGTTCATGTTGCGGAACGCAGGCATGGGCGGCCGCCGCTCGCCAGTCTGGCGCGCACCCGACGCACCCCGACCGACCAGCGGGTGGTGCTGACGCACGCGAGCCACCTTGGCCGCGGCCTCCTGCGAGCTCATGGTGATCGAGCCACTACCCCCGGTACTGTGGCCGTGATGTGCGAGGTGGTGGAGGTGGTGGCGGTGGGCATGATTGTTTCCCGACCCTGATCCCGAAAAGAAGCGCGAACGCAGGTAGCGGAACACGAGCTTGATATCGAGGTCCTGCTCCCACTCCTCCTGGGTGAAAGCCTGTGCGGCCGTTGGCGTCGTCGACGTAGAGTTTGCTGTAGCACTGCCAGCGGTAGGTGGCGTAGTGTTGTTTTCTGTCGTCTGACCAGGGATGTCCATCGGTTGTGCTTGGTAGATGGTGGGCTTGAAGTGGGGAAGCGAAGCCGTAGTCCCGGTCGGAGTGATATCGCTGGTTCTCTTCTCACCAGAGGCCTCGGCCGACCCCTGTTCGCTCCGGAGGACGCGATTCGCAGGTGTGGTTGTCTCGGGGATCACCGGCAGGCCAGCGTATGGCAGGGGCATCTGCTGCACGCGGGTGAAGGTCGAAAACGCGCCCGGATGCGAGCTGATGTGCGAATGCACAAACAAGCCCAGCTCCTTGGCAATGCGCTCGAGCATGCGCAGCTGCCAAGATGACGAGTCGTCACCATAGGCGCCAACATCCGTCGAGTCTACGCCGAGAGCACCTGCTTCCAACAGAGGGTTGGATGCACGGGGCGTTGAGGATAGGTCCATCTCATCGGCTTGTTCCTCGTCGGCCGAGATATCTTCGCCGAAGAGGACAGACAGAACGCGGTCATCGATGCCCATGACTTCAAGCATAAACCTGCGTGTAATTCGAGTCCACAGACCTTCTTCGCTTGGACCATCGCCATCTTCTCCTGCTGCCTTGCGAAGCTTCGTGAGACGGTCGTCTTCCTCCTGGTCGTGCCAGTTGGTACTCGTCTCCACCTGCGCGGTCCTGTCTGCAGCAACAGCATCGGGCGAGAGGGTCGCGTTGGCTGCAGCACCGCTCACCCGACTTCGTCGTGCAGAGAGCTCGGACCCGCGCCGCCGGCGAGTCTCCTTCTGAATCTCTTCGAGAAGGACGCGGCTGTGCTCTAGCCGCCAGGCCTCAATACGCCGTGTCCGCTCAATATCCTCTGTGAATTCATCGTCGGCCTGCAGCTGCGCCAGGTCCAAAGACGCACGGCGCCGCTTTGGGACCCGCCGTGGGTTGAACTGCTCGAATGAGTAGAGGTGTTCTTGGACTGCAGCACTCAAGCCAGTGGTGTTGCCTAACCGGAAAGTGCCGAGACCATCATGCGTCGGAAGGTTTACAGTCGTGGTGGCAGTGGCTGCCAAAGCTTGCTGTGCCAGGTTTTGTTGTGTAGTAGGGCGGAAATCGGGGAGGTGGCTGTCGAGGCTGTCGAGCTCGGCGTCGTCTTCGGCGTCGGGCCGGGCATCGTCGCTCATGACAGCCTCATCGAAGTTGGACTGGGAGCGTGCTGATGTGAGGAGGGGGAGGCGGAGATTGGCTGGCCTCGCAACGGCTGATTGCGCTCGCGAGGATGCATAATCAGAGTGTTCGAGGCTACGTAAACTACCCAGGTCACTCAGCCGTGAACGGCCGGCTGTTTGCTGTGAGGATTCCTGGAGCGAGTCCAGAGCGGATGATGTCGTCTCTGTGTCCGCGTTCGGCGAGAAGAGCACCCATGTTTGCGAACCCTCGAGGGCGGCGGGAAGTACAGTGGAGACGCGGTTGTCATCTCGTTCTTGCGACTCCTGGCGTGGAGGCCGTTGAAGGGCCTGCCGCGTGGGCTGATGGAAAGCCATGGGGAATGCAGTTCAAAGACAAAAGCGGCGAAAGTGATTAGAGGGTAAGGAAGAGTGCCGTCGTCGCCCACGCTCCAATGTCAAAGCAAAATGGGAAGATGGCCCCAGGTCTCGTGCCAGCAATCAGCGATAGGAGGTGGGTGTTATCGTAACGAGGATCCCGAATGCGGGCGTGCTAGCGGGGGACTAGAGGAACAAAGTGGGCAATAGTAGACCAGAAGACGCGACAGGACGGGTTGTCAGCGTAATTTCGAGGACAAGCCCGAGAAGCGGATTGACGTGATCGATGTGGGCGATGCGAACGTTCGAGCGTATATTTGTCGATGCTGATGACCAGCGGCTGGGTCTCGTGGGCGTGTAACACGTTGCGCAAAGGATTCCGGGCGTAAGCGACAGAGGCGATAACAGACTGATAATAAGAAAGGCGGGCCGCCCGCTATCAAGTCAATCGAATAACCGTCGGCTGGTTAATTACGACGTAAGACACCCTCACGAGAGCCGCGCGAGACCATGCGTGGATCGAAGCCAGAAACGAGGGAGAGCGTGCCAGACGAGGGATGTGGGACAATGCAGAAGAAAAGGAGTTGATCGGGCTCGTGTGACGAGGAGTCGGAAGGGAGGTTGACCGCCCTCAACAAAAGAGGGGGCGCGCGATAAGGCAGTCCAGCCAAGCGACGTCAGAGGCTGGTCGAAAGACGCGAGTACTTGACGCTGCGGGAGAGAAGAGATGTTGTCAAAAAAGGGGCGATACTAACGAAGGGACGAGAAAAAGCAAAATACCAAGAAGGCACGAAAGACATTTAAAAGGGCAAGGACGGGAAAGGAAATGACCGTTAGATCTGTTGGGGGAAGGAGGCCAAGTCCCGCGATGACAGCAGATCAGCAGTGGGTGACAACTAATGTCAGAACTCCACACTGGCGGGCAGGAGCGATGGCCGACGTCTCACGCCGTTCACTGTTTCTTCCAAGTCTCTCACTTGTCACGCCAGGAGGGCAGGAATGTCTAGCGACAATTGGGCGGGCTAGAAAAGGGGGGCCTGCAGGAGCCGGAAGGAGTGAGGCTGGCTGGTTTGCTGGGTCCTCTGCTGGTCCGAAGTGACCGCGAACCAGGGCAGTCAATATTGGCAGTGTATTGGAGGGTGTGGCCCCTGGGCTGACCTGCAGCCGTGGCTTCGTGCTCTGACGACAGAGATTCGTATTTTGCTTAATGTCGACGGTTGTCCAGTAATTAACCTAAGATTCACGCTACAGCAGTAGTGCATCGTATACTCTGACTGAACTGGGCTGAAAGCAGCCACTGAGGGAAAGACGGGCCAAAAGGAAAACGGAAGAAAAGGGCTGTGTCTGACTGACTCCCACCCTCCTTTCCCGTCTACGACGTGCGCCCTTTTGCGATTACTATCCTGCAGTTCCGAGAGTTCAACCAACTTGGCAGCCGCAGACGCAAAGTGGTGGGCATTCGACGATGCAATTTTGGCACCTTTTTTCTTACGTATTTACATCCCGAAGCCGTTGTACCTTTGGGTGCTCTCACCTCGCGTCGCTCCATTATCGGTCCTTCGTATATCGCTGCTTCGATTTACGTTTAAATCTCACATAATTCCCCTCAGCTTATGGTAAACACTGGCAGCTTCGTAACAACGAAGCAAACCCCGACTGGTTTTGCGTTCGCTCGGACAATCGTAAAAAACCCTGAAACTTGTTCTCAGGGCCTATTATTGCGATACCAGTGAAAGAACGGTCCAGCCCAGGCGTGTTCTTGGCCAAAGGTGGCAGAGGTCCTCGAAGTGGTCTGGCTGGGGGCCAAAGGACCGATAGCCGTCGCCAGCATTCAGCAGGTCTCTAAAATGGCGCCATAAATCGCAAATTTGGGGGGCCAAACCCGTCATAGCTTACCGGAAACTCGCGCCACAGCGTCCTCTGGTCCTGTCGCTATCTTACCAGGCCGAATGCCAGCCAATAAGTGAACAAAGCGCCAATCCATTTCTCCAGTTTAGTTACCAGTTTGACACGCTGTGAGCACATCCCGCCGTTCTCTTGTTCGCTCCGTCTTCCCTCATTCAACGCGTGACACCTTTCCGTATGTGCCGTCGTTTTCTACGGCGTCACTCACGTCGGTGATCGACAATGTTGCAAGCTATCGTCCAGCTGAATATTAACGAGTGCACGATTGAATTGAGACACCGTCTGTTCACCTGTGGGATAAAGGTTAATGTGATGCCCAAAGATATGGCGAGGAAGTGCCCGCCATATGCCCCTCACAGGACTCCAATGACGCCAAAAGACGCCACATAAAGATCACCTGGTCACGTTCGCTTTCGTTGGGGAATCTAAAACAAAGTAGCCTACGACGTACGTAGACAGGCGACCAAGTGCGCAAGCCCACAAGAGAGGAGAAGAGCAAGGAGAAGAAAGCGATCGGCATGGGCAGTCAGGAGGGTGAGCCACAGCCACTGAAAGCGAAACGTACCGTTTGAAATCCATGGCAATAGATTTATAATGTACCCTCCAAAGCTGGCCATACAACTTGTCTACAGTGGTGGCCATATGAGTTGGTGTTCTACGGCTACAAATTGCTGTTTTAGGCTCATGATATGATTTTTATCACGGCACATTGCATATATTGGTTGAATCGTGGGTCAATTTCTTATTCGTCTCTTCCTAATTCTGTTTCTCGGGTTCGTGACGTTAGAGCCGTGCTCATACAGCATTCGTGCCGCCGGTGAGCATCGCAAGCGTGCCCAGGTAAACTCGGGCAGTGTGCCACACATTGTGCTTGTAACAGCGCTCCGGCAGAGCATGTTCTCCTCTCTTGACAAGAAAAGAAACCCACAGCCAACCCACACGTCGTCTCCGCGTGTGCTAAAATAGAATAGATGAACCAAAAAAGAAGACCACCAAGCGCCGCTCTGTGCCCGCGCGAGGGTGTGATTGTACCACCCTGGCATTTTATCGATCAACAGGGAAATACAACGAAAAATGCAAACAATTCAGTCTCTCAACTCCTCCAACCACTTTATGCGGAGAAGGCGTCGGGGAACTGCTTGATGTTCGCAGCCAGGTTGCCCTTGTTGCTCAGGAACTGGACGTAGGCACCGTCCACCCGGACGCGGCCAGCAGCCTTCTTCTCCTGGTACTCCTCGCGGCGGAGGGGCGTGAAGCCCCAGTTCTTGGAGATGATAATCTTCTGGCGGCCGGGGAACTTGTACTGGGAGCGGCGGAGAGCCTCGAGAGCGAAAGCGCGGTCTGTGAAGCGGGTTAGTAATAGGCCAAATCAAGGATGCTGGAGTGTTCTTGGACATGAAGACATACTAGAGTCACGAGTGCGGACACTCAGGATGATCTGGCCGATGTTGACACGGGCGACAGTGCCGTTGGGCTTGCCCCAGGCACCACGCATACCGGTCTGCAGACGATCGGCACCAGCGCACGACAGCATCTTGTTGATACGGACGACGTGGTACGGATGAGCGCGGACGCGCAGGTGGAAACCCTCCTTGCCGGCAGTCTTGACGAGGTACTTGTTGGCGCAAATACGGGCGGCCTCGAGGGCCTCGGAGCTCAGCTGCTCATACTCGTTGGACACGAGGTGGATGCAGAGGGGGAAGTCGTCGACGGTGGCGCGCTTGCGGCCCAGGTCGAAGATGCGAATCTTCGGGTCGGGGACACCGCGGTTGAAGCGGGACTTGGGGTACGGCTAGATGAAGCACGCCGTTAGTACCTTGTTTGCTTGCGATGAAAACGACAAAACCATTTATATTCCTCCGCTCTCCGAATGATTCTTCCCATATCTTGAGACGACCACCAACCCCGGAACGAACACAAACGAGCCTAGGCAGCCGAAATGATATTTTCGTGCAAAACGATAACCAAAACAGCAATTCAGAATGCGAAGTCGCCTAGCGGTCGCTCGTTCTCGTCGTCGTCTTCGTCCTAGGATCGTGGGTCGATGACTTCCTCCTCTTCCCTTTGACTTCCTTTCCTTCGCTCGATCTTCCTTTCACGAACGCACCTTGTTCTTGCAGTACCGGTAGCAACGGGCGGGACGGCGAGCCATTGTGTCGGATGTTTGTCAATTTGTCGTTAAGTGTTGTTGTGATTGGGGTTGTCGTTGAGGGTTGGCGATCCAAAGGCTGATCGAGAGGTGTTTTTAAGAGAACAAGAAAATAAGCGGCGGGCGACGAAATTTCCCTTTGGGTGGCTTCAGTTCGCCTCACTAGCTGATTTCAAAGCAAATCGGCTTACTAGAGGAAGGTTCGCCCATTTTCCCGACTTTTGTCAGGCTCGGCTGGCGAGTGACTCCTTCCTTTGTGGCAGGGGCCAAAATAAAGTGGGTCGTTTAGGTCTTTCTTGCCCTTGGGTGACTCCTCCACGAAAACCGGAAAAATAGGTGTCCCACTCTTGTCCACCTAACGATTTTACTCATTTTTACTCATATTTTTTTCCGTGCATGCCATTCTTGCGCTGGCGCTAGCGATGGGGAGAGAAATTTTGTAGTTTGTCTCGACCAAAAGTTCTGTCGTCTCGTTCTTCTTTCCTCTCGACACCCACGACACTTACCGACAACAACCCATACATTTCGTCGACAACCGTTGCAATGGCCCCCAAGAAGAACAAGAAGGACGCCAACTCCATCAACTCGCGCCTTGCGCTTGTGATGAAGTCCGGCAAGGTCACCATGGGCTACAAGAGCACCCTCAAGTCGCTCCGCAGCGTACGTTTCTGATCCCGCGATGCTTGCCACGATGCGCTTCTTCGACCGTCAAAGAGTCGAGCAGACTGCTAACACGACTCTCTACTGCAGGGCAAGGCCAAGCTGGTCCTGATCTCCTCCAACACCAGCCCCCTCCGCAAGTCTGAGCTCGAGTACTACAGCATGCTGAGCAAGACCAACGTCCACCACTTCTCGGGCAACAACGTGCGTTTATCCTCTTCCCCGATTCCGTTTTTCTGAGATGCCACCTCTGGTGCCACCCCTTCTCTCCAGTAGACGGCCCAGACAGAAGCCGGTCACGGTTCTGCGTTTTACAAAGCTGAATTGCGGTGCCCCCGTCTCGCCTGTGCGTGACCGGTGGTCTGGGCCTGCCCTGCGAAGAAGTTGCACTCTACTGTGACTTTGGAGGGTATATTTCGTATAGCTAACCCGTACGTTTTCCCCTTTGTATAGATCGAGCTTGGCACTGCTTGCGGTAAGCTCTTCCGCTGCTCCACCATGGCCGTCCTGGACCCCGGTGACTCGGACATCCTGGCCGACCAGCAGGCTTAAGCAGGCAATCATACACAAAAAGCCAATCAAAACAACACCATGGGACTTGCGGCAAACGCGATGAGGATGGTTTTATGAATGAACATTATAAAAATTCCAAAATACAAAATTTTGCCATGTTCCTTGACGGAATGGTTGCTTTTTGGGAGGCATCAAACGGCGTTCAGGAAAAGAAAGTCCACGACTATTATGTGTCAAGGACAGTGATCTATTATACCAAAGAAACAAAATAGCCTTCAGAACAAGCCACTGTCCCCAACTTAATCGTGTGTTCGGTGTGATGCCAAGTGAAGTATCAATTAACGCCGTGTAAATGCATATATCGCATATGCTTATAAGCGATAGTGTGTACCTTGTTCCTAATAACACGTGCGAGAATGTGCAACGGACGACATCATGTGAGCAACTCATCCACGGTTATGAACACACCTGTCAACCATATACGACAGTTCGACATACAATGCTTCTGAAATGTGCCGAACGGGGATTGGCGACTGCCTAGCCTCTGTCAAGCGCTTCAAAAAGACTGCTGGGATGCGCCAGCGATCAGCGCTTTTCCGCATGAATGTCCTAATTGTCGTCGCAATCTCCCGCTCATTGCTCCATTTTGGGATGGCCGCCGCCTCATGTTCTTTCGTGTTTCTAGACGTTTCATTGGCACAGGGGTAGGGTTTCTGGGCTGGACCCAGTTGCAGATGCGTGTCCCGATTCCCTCATCGGGCACGGAAGATTGCAGTCGTGCTTCCATTCAGCGACGCGCGAGCATCGCAACATGGTGGAGGCGCGTTCCGTTTTAGGAAGCCGGGCGCAGGCCCAGCGAGATGATCAAAACAGAACATGAACCGGTGCAGAAAACGGCTGTTTTGTCGCCTATTTGATAGCATGTGCAGCCGTTAACAAGACAAAACGCTCGTCCGCACCTGATTGACACATAAGGCAACAAACTTGCAAGGGCAAAAAGTATCTACTCCGTACGCCGTCCGATGGAGCGCAGTCGTCAACAGCGATCCCGCCACTTGGAACCAACTCCATGCGAAATGCATATATGTATTCAACCTATGTCGCACTTGCACAAAGGCAACACTATCGACGCATACAGGCTCCAGGATCAGTAAATGAGTTCACTGGTAGTGTCAGACGCGTAGCAACCAGCGCATTCCTCAACGCCTGCCTCATCAGCCTCCCACTGGCCGTTCTGTCTAATGTTCCAATATGGTCCTGCGCGCTCGTTTCTCTGCGCTCCAGCTGGCCGGCCACAAAGATGTGCCTTCGTCGTGACAAAGCACCATTGTCGAATCACGCCGCTGTCTGTTGTTCGTCGCTGCCGTCTATATGTATCTCCTGTGGTGGCCGTCTATGTCGTAATTTCTTACCAGACAGAAACCACAGGGCGCCTTGTCTCGTCGTGCGCCAATACTGGAAAGGACAACATACCACATCCTGCAAGTAAGATACTTCTCCCAAATAACAATGTGGGTTTCCAGAGCGACTTCCCCACTGGACCTTCTCCGCCGTGCAACCATTTGCTCTTTCACCCATTCTCTTCATTTTCCTTCCAGAATTAGCGTTGGAAATACGCAAAGTTTGTCAGGACTGCTCCGCCTAGCTATTGCATTGTGTTCTTGACTGCACCTTCCCTGTGCCGTTGGGCTGTCCCGTACCTCCTTCCTGCCAGGGCCGTAATTAGCACTTGGCCTCCGAAACGCGACGCCAGGGGTTGTTGGTCCTTCCTTGCCGTGCTAAACAGCTAGACTACCAGCAATACCGCGAAGCCCAGGCCCCTGCAAACGATCACCTTCCCATTTCCCCTGTGCTTCAACATTCGCTCCTTCCTGCTCCTTTTCTCACGAGCCACGACACGCACAGCTTCTTGTTTTCCAATATTGTCGATTTCTCCTCTTCTACTTCAGAAGTGGCTGTGACTCGTCACTCCGTTGACTTTCCGAACTGTTCTGCCTTTGTCAAGAGTCAACCCCTTCCTCGCACCTTGAAGCGTAGCGCTCCCCTATTCGACGAACGCCCGCATTTCCCTCTTGTTTACTCCACATTCGTCTTCAACTTGGCGCCTCTGCAGCTCGACGCCGCTGAAGAAACGACAAATCAGCAAAGAGCGGTCAACACGAAGAGGACACAACGAATGGACAGGACAACGGCGGAAACCAAGAAACACACGACAAACCCACACGGAAACACCATGTCAACGCCGACAGCAAAACGGCCACCGGCTGGGAGCCGCGACTCGCCAACTGCGTCGCCCTCCAGACAGCCGCGCGCTTCGACGCCCAGCAGCGGCGACCGAACCGGCACCGGCACGGCCACGCCAACGAGCAGTGTCGGACGCACACGCTCAGTGCGGTCCAGCACCCTCGTGTCGGCTCGGGCGGCGGCGGCCCAGCGGCGTGAGTCGCTGCTGAGCAACTCGAAAACTGCGCCGTCGCCTGGTGCCGACACTGCATCCAATACAGAGGCTGAAGAGGCCGCGCGGGCGGAGACCCTGGCCCTTCTTGACGATCTTAAGGAGCGGCTGAGCAAGGCGGAGGGCGCGACCGAGCAGTACCAGAGACAGAACGACGTGCTGCAGGCACGGCTAGACGAGGTGGTCAAGGAGCACTCGAAGCTGGAGGAGCGCGTGCACGAGTACGACGAGCAGGCGGAGACGCTCAAAAACGAGAAACGCGAGATGGCACGCCAGATCCAGCAGATGGAGACGATTTATGAGGCTGAGCGCAGCGCCATGACCCGCGAAAAGGAGGATATGAGCAATCGCGAGGAGGAAAAGGAGCGCATTATCCAGCGCCTCAAGGACAGCTTGGCGCAGCGCAACGCCGACGACGAGGGCCGGCCCTCGAGAATAAGTGAGTGATTGTTCAAAGAGTGCCTCTCATAGCCGTCTCTCTCTCCCCCATTCTAACACTCTCCAGCAAGCAACAGCTCGCCCGGCGTAGACAGTGGCAGCTTCGCCCCGCCCTCGTCTCTCCACCGCAGCGACTCGCGCAACAACTCAAAGCTCCTGCTCCAGAAAGACAAGCTGATCGAGTCGTTGCGCCTCGAACTGGCCGAGGCCCAGATCAAACTCGTTGAATCCGAGAACCAGGGCGGCGGCCGCCTGCATGAGGTCGAGCGGCAGCTGATGGAAGCGCGCATGGCCAACGCCCGCCTCATGGAGGACAATGAGAGCTACCAGCTGCTTCTGCAGGAAAAGACGCTCAAGGGTGACTTTGGCATGGCTGACTTTGGGTTCGGCGGCGGCCTTGGTCTCATCAGCAACACAGGTGGTACGCACAGCCGGCCACGCTCCTCAAACGAGGATGCCCTGAATGCACTTGAAGGACGCGCGGTTGGCGGATCCAGCTTGGCAGACGAGCTGAACGATGCGGCCGGCAGCGACAGCGATGAGGCCGGGGCTGCAAGTGGCGCCGTGACCAACGGCACAGACGGCGTTCCTGTCGAAGGCCAGCGCCGGTTGGAGGCCGAGCTCAAGTCGCTCCAGGACCAGAACAAGGCGTTGACGTTGTACATTAACAAGATCATCGAGCGCCTGCTGGAACACCAGGACTACCAGTACATCCTCGACAAATCTACAGACGGGAAGCAGCCACTGCCGCCAGCGGGCGCTACGGCCACAAGCGCAAATACGGACAAGGAGCTACCCCCGCCGCCTCCACCAAAGCCGCAGCAAACAACACCACAGCCCAGCGCCATCCAGTCCTTCCTCCAGCGCACCAAATCGATCACCTCCCGTTCATCGGAGCCGGCAGCAGCTGCAGGTGCAGCAGCCAAGCGTCCTCGCC